CTGTCTTGATGATTACAGCTTTGTAACAGAGCTTGAAGTCCAGAATTGTGATGCCACCAGCTTTGGTTTCCTTTTTCAACATGTTGGAAACATGTTGTGTCTTCATCCATCTCAAAGTATTTTTTAATTTCCCTTGTGATTTCTTTCTTTGATTAGAAGTATGTTGATTTCCATATATTTATGAATTTCCCAGATTTATTACTGATTTTTAATGTCATTGCCTTGTGTTCAGAGAACACACTTTATTTCATTTAAATACATCTTAGTTTATTGAGGGTTGTTCTATGATCTAATATATGTTCTATCCTGGACAATGTTTTATGTGTACTTAAGAATGTATATTCTGTTGTTCTATAAATATATTAGATCTAGTAATAATATTGCCCTAGTCTTCTACTTTTTAACTGATCTTCTTCCTAGTCATTCTTTCCTTTATTGTATGTGGGATATTTAAGTCTCCACCTATTATAGTTGAATTGTCAGTTTTTCCCTTCACTTCTGTCAGTTGAATTTAATGTATTTTAAGACTTATTAGTTGTATATACATTTATAATTGTTACATCTTCCTGATGGATTGACCCCTCTATCATTATAAAATGTCCCTCTTTATCTCTGGTTACACTTTGTTTTAAACTCTCTTGCCTGATATCAGTAGTCATGTACGCTTTCTTATGGTTACTGCTTGCATGATACATCTTTTTCCATCCTTTCACTTTCAACCTCTTTGAATCTAAAGCGTCTTGCCTATAGACTGCACATAGTTGGATCTTGTTTTTAATCCAGTCTGACAATCTCTGCTCTGATTGGATTGTTTAATTCATTCACACTTAATGGTGTTAATATAGTTGGATTTACATCTGCCATTTTACTTTTTTTTTCTTATATCTTTGTGTTCCTCTATTTCTTTTACTTTTTTGCTTTGTGTTAAGTGAACATATTCTAGTGTGACATTTTAATTCCTTTAATAATTTTTTCACTAGTTTGAGTTATTTTCATATAGTTATTCTTAGTTATTCTAAGTTATTAGTTATTATAAGTTCCTAGTTATTCTAAGACACATATCAGAATCTACTTGTAATTTATACCAACTAAATCCAATGAGCTATAGAAAGATTACTCCTTTATATCTCTATTCCCTTTTTCTGTATGTGACATTTATATATGTTACAAATCCAATTATATTGTTATAATTACATGATTTTAGGTGAGAGACAAGCAGGTATATATTTATAGCTTTTGTGATATTATCGCTTATATCATTTATATTTACCATTTGTTTCTCTTCATTTGTTCTAAATCAGACCTTTCCTCAGGTATGTCCAAACAGTGTCAGCCACAAGGATGGAGAACAGGCTCTGTGAAGGATTGTCCGTTTGTGCACAGCACGACTAAGAGTTAGCATTCACACTGCAGATTTGTGTGTTGGACAGTTTATTGGTAGATGGCCAAAAATGTCTTGTTCTAATGATCTCAGTAATTTACAGAGCTGTCAAATGAAGGTTTCTGGGATGGTGAAGTGGTCTGTGCCTGTGCTTTCCAACATGAGAGTCGGTAGCCACGTGTGGCTCTGGAGTACTTGAATTAATTTTAATTTCTATTTAATTTTAAATAGCCGTAGCTACAGGCTCTCATATGGGACACTGAAGTTATCATCTCAGATGGCCCCTTCCTTGATACTGTGGTTAAACCTTCTAAAGTAGATTAAAGGGAAGAGCCCCCCCCCCAAAATATATGATAGTTTCATTTATTATAAAACTTACAGACTGGACCATGGGAATATTATTTTAAAAAGTTGTTCTATCTTTATCAGCCATCTAAAAACTCAAATGCAGATAGACAAAGAAATGATGCAAACACAGCCATGCAGGGCCATGGCCAAGAGATGGAAAGTGCACAGAGTCCCTGAGGTCTGCTTGGGGCACAAGGGAGGACCCATGCTCCGTGCTTCCATCACACTAAATGCCGTACAGCCAGTAAGGAGGGGAGGGTCTTTTTCTGCTTGTGGGAAACAAAGGAAGGAAATCTTCAAAGCTACAATTGGAAACTTTTACTTTATGTAGAACAGTGGTTGAGTAAAGGGAATGAAACCCATATTGCTTTTCATAGCCGATTTTTCAAAGAGTGTGCTTGTAAATGTCTTTACAGACTCTCAGAATCTTCCCTCATAGTCTTTGAAGTAAGGAGATTGAAGATATTATCCTCACTTCTCATTAAGGCATACCACCTTGCATTGTTTCCAATACATGGTTTTCAGACATGTCTTGATGAAAGCCAAACTGCTTTCAGATGAAACAAACATAAACAAAATGTCTATCCCCATGGGATAAAGCATCATAACAGGTTTTTTTTTTAGGTTTTTAATTTTTTTAAGAAAGTTCAATGTTTGCCTTTAGGTCAGTATATTAATTGCCATTGTGCTTTTCCCTTCTCATATGTATTTTTTTTTTTTAGATTTTATTTATTTGAGAATGTGCACAAGAGGGGGGGGGCTCAGAGGGAGAAGCAGACTCCCTGCTGAGCAGGGAGCCTGATGCACAGGGTTTGATCCCCGAACTCCGGGATCATGACTTGAGCAGAAGGCAGACGCTTAAATGACTGAGCCACCCAGCCCTCCCATATTAAGATACACAGTAACATTATACACTATTTTTTGTCTCAAATAATGTGGTAACCATATCCCAGGTGCTTCCAAACACTTTTTTTGAAATCCTGTTACCATTTCAATATAATGAAAGCCTGCCCTGCAAAGTCTCTGACATTTAACATTTCAGTTTTCTCTGGGGCCATGTCAATAGTATAATAAGGAAAAAAAGAAATTATAATGTTCATCCCTAGCCCATCATGGAATAAAAAATATATCTATTTGAATAGATCTTAAACATAATTTTCCCTTGTAAGGGAAAACATGCTGCAAAGAGAAAAGTTAAAAGTCACATTAGCTTAACATTGTAAATAAGAATAAAGCCCACAGGTAAATGAAGTTTTCCTGCAGGTAAATTAATGCTGCCTCATCCATTGATTCCCAGGTCATAGATCTCTACTGGGGCATCGATGAAGACGAATGGGACAGCCCAGAGCTCCAGAAGACTCGCATGAAGCTGCTGGAGGATTGTTTGAAAACTTCTGCAGGTCCATGTTTTGTTGTGGGTATAAAAAAACTAATGCTTTATACGAAATTGTAGATGACTGAGAATTGTTGTGGATGTGTGATTCTTAAGGACTTTTAATTATTTTGAATGAGGAAAAAAGACTGCCTTTTCTGTGTCTATTTAAAACCTTTAAACTGTCTCCTTGCCCTCAACATGTGAGAACAAAACCTTCAGCCTTCCATAAGCAGCACTGCAAATTAATGGTGAATAATTTGAAATGATAATCGAAGGGATGACTGGGGTTTGATGACAACTTCCACAACACCTTGTGATCAGCAGAAAGGATTACTATGTCAGTCCACACTGAACAGCCTGATTTTCCTCACACTGTGTAATGTATTCGATCACAGTGTCTCCATGTCTGGCCACTAGAATTTTTGGCAGTTTTTTAACACAGTGACTGAAACATTGTTAAAGTCAACCAATATAGAATGTCAAATCCACCAGCAGAAAATGATACCCTGTGGGGTGAAAAAATTTGTTTTTAGATTGATCTTCAGCTAGATGTTCATTAAAAGCTACAAATTAACAGATTTTTCAAGTGGAACATTATTTACCAAAGAATACCCACTCTTCTATCTAAACACAGTGGTAGTAAGATAAGTAGGTCATTCTATAGCAGGCGATGGTGTAAAATCACTGTCTGCATTTAGCTTAAGAAAGAACCTTATCCTGAATCCAAACAGATTCTAGCAATTGATACAGAAGTTGCCCCTCTCAACGCAGGATGTTCGGAGGCTGATGGAGGAGCATTAAAATTACTAGTGAATGCTTCAAGGAAACTCTCATACAATTAAAAGCTAGGTTTGATGTATCAACAAAAGTTTTCAATATTTATTTGCATATCTGTTAAGCTCCACATAGGATTAAGAAGACAGAGATGCTATCAGAAATCTGACCGGTTGATACTGAAGTTCTTACTGAGGATAATAAAGTACATAAAAGCTCTACAACATTTTTAGTATCAGTATATAAATTATTCACTCTCTACTTATTGAATGCTGCTGGGGCAGGAATGGTTCTTAGTGCTGGGGATATGGTAGGCTGACCCACATGAAATGGTTATTTTGTGTGCCAGTTAGGATTTAACCTTAGATTTGAACTAAGAAGATAAAACCTTTAGAGCTTGCTTGCATGCTTAGTTGGGGTCAAAGGGAGAGGGCAGGCAAAAATGAAGGAAATAAGGAAAATCATAAGTGCTATGAGAAAAATACAAAAAGGAAGGAGAAGGCCTCACTGATAGGGTGAGGGAAGACCCATGAGGGGAGATAAGAAAGGGGAAAAGAAAGAACCAGGTAGATTTCCAGACCAGAATGCCCCAGGGAAAGAAAATGGAACCATGCCTGGCATGTTGAGGGAATAGTATGAGCACGAGGGGAGAGGACTGCAGAGGAGGCCCTATCTTGGGCTTTAGCATCTTGAAGTTGGTTACAGAGATTTTGCTTTCAGTGACCTGAGAAGCCACAGAGTGTTTTGAGCAGAGGACTGAAGTGATCTGATGTATTTTAAGGCCCACCATGGCTGCCAGGTGTAGGATAGAGGGCAGAGCATGGAGCCCCCTTAGAAGGTTAATGCAGGAAGCCCAACAAAAGCACATGGCTTAGGGGGTTGAAGAATGGACATCTAAAAACAGTGACAACACAGAAAGTCCTGAAAGCCATATTAGATATCTGAAGATCTAGTAGTGGTAGGGGTTTAAGACTTTTCCCATGGGTCTTCAGAGGATAGACTAGGACCAGCAAATGGAAAGTACATGGAGACAGGTTTCAGCGCTGGGTGAAGAAGTTGGAGGATTCAGCATTCACTGGTTTTGGGGTCTCACAGATCCCTGGGTTCTGACATTTCATAGCTGCGTGATAGTGGAGGAGTTTCCTTACTACCCTGAGCCTCAGTCTCTTGATCTGTGAACTGGAGATGATGATGATCATTATCTAGCTCCTGGGGTCATTCTGAAGATGAAATGAAACTCCAGGGCTCTTTTGTAGCGTCTCACCTATGGCAATCCACAGTAAGTGTTCATTGTTACTTGTGGTAATCACTGTTATCCCTCAAAACCATTTAAAGATGAAATCACCTGGCCCAAATTGTAATGAGTGCATCACCAAGAAAGTTGTCCTCAAAGGAGAGAATACAACGCAGTCTGGCAGGGGTGCCAGAAAAGAGATTCAGACAGTGGAGATGAGTCAGACCAGGTTCCATGATGCTTGGAAGCTAGATTTGGGAGGTATGCCCTGGGAAGTCACAGTTGTGATGCTCTACACAGCTCTGTCCTGATCCAACCTCAAATTCAGGAATGAGAGAGACATTCTCCCCTCTTTTATCTCCCTATGGCGCGTCCTACCCAAACTAACTAAAATTAGTCATGGCCATTAATTCTAACAATTTGCTGGTAGGGGAGTGAATAAAGCCTGCAAGTTCCAGCAGGTTCTGAGAGTAGAGGTTAAGTGATGGAACATCAGAAACAGCTTCATTGAGTGTAAACAAACGATTTATCCCTCCTCCTGCTCACTGCTACATGTTGAAACTCATGGCAACCATGATGAAACCCTGTGGATACAGCTAGGATATTCACCCCAGTGATCCTAAATCAGGCAAGACTTAACCTCACTGCTTATGGGAAATAGTACATCTCTTCCTTCCTTTCCTGTTGTAACTATGGTAACAGTAGGCATCTCGGTATCGCTTTTGAGCTCGTTTCCTTGCCCCGTGCTCCTTTATGGTACTTTTAGAAGTCATGATGACCCCTGTGGGTTGCAAAGCACGGCATATTATTTTCCCTAATGCTAAAATCTTTCACAAGAAAATTCACTATTGCTGAATGACAAGGTTTTTATATTTTCAAAGGCTTTACAGATATTAACCCTATGTTACAGATAAATTCAGGAACCAAACAAAGCTTTCATTTTAAGTACCCAGGGGACTGAGGCCCAAAGGAAACCTGGACTTAAAGGTTACATGTGCTTGGCTCTTTCCAGCTTCCTTTCCTACAAGTTGTCCTTTGGGATATGGCCTGAGGTCGTAGAGTCTGGCAGGCTGTGCCCGTTCATCCTACACAGCTGTCTGTACACTGGTTTTTGATCACAAGGATGGGATGGAGTAAGGGGCCTGTCCCTGTGTCCAGTTCCCCCCTCAGGGGATTGACTCAGGAGACATGTCATACTGAGAATACATCACTTTCTTGTAGGAAAGCACCCACAGTGGGGACAAACCCAGTTTTATTTCACAACCTGAGTTAGACCTCTGGACAGGGTAGTTAACTAACCTCACCATGCTTTCAAATGGGGAAATAACTATAAATGACAAGTAAATGTTGAATAAATAGCAAAGGTTTGTTGTAGGAACCAAATGTGATTGATAGTTCTTTATAAAGGGCTACACAGCCATTAGTTATTAGTAAGTTGTGATTTAAGTTATTTTCAAATGAGAATAAAAATGTTTTTACTCATAATGGACATTTCTGTGATACTGGAAAATTTTCCCTTTGAAAATGATGATGATAGTCTAAATGTAGAAAAGCACTAAGACTTGATTCACACTGTCAGATATTAAAGTCATATATTAAAGGGTTTTTGAGTTCATTCTTAACAAATGTTATAAAATGTAGAGAGTATATCTTCATTTGCTAGATATGAATTTGCTGGAATGTACTTAATTAAACCATTATCTGCTCCGGAGGAGGGATTTTGACCAGGACTGTTCTTAACAGGAAGACAGCTTACAGTTGAGGTCAGAGTCCTTATCTGCAGAGAATGGCCTCAGCCCCTCCCCCCCGAAGTATGGAAAGGTTAGCAGAATGTTCCCCACCAACCTGTCCCAGCCACTTAGTCCATAAAAACTCATTATGAAGGGGGAGAGGAATATTGTCTTTTGGAGAGAGCAGAGTTCTCTCATCCCCGCCCCCTCTTCATGATGTGTGTTTATGGAGAGGATGGATTTTCGTCTTGTCATCCTTCCGGATTTGAAGTACAATTTCTTGTGACATTCGACCACTGACCCTGGACCTTAGGTGAAGTCCTGTCTCTTGGCCAAAGTTGGTAAAAACAACTACTCTGCTGGCTTGAAGAACTGGGGGTTTGAAAGCTTCCTCAGAGAATTAAGGGAGCTGCCCCCAAGTGTGTAGGAGCTGTGGGGAATGCAGACGGCGCTTCACTCCATCCCTCAGTCCAGAGTGGATGATGTAGAGATTTACTGAGGGAAAGGTGTGGGCAGGCTGCCCCAGGGAGGGAGTCAAGCCAGGCCCGTGCAGGGAACCAACACAGGGAGTTCCGGTTACAACTGACTGAGACAGGTAAGAGAAGATTCCAGGACCTCACTGAGACTCAAAGGGGCATTCCCTATATCTTAGAGTCAGGCCAAAGAGAATGCTGCCTGTGATAGGCTTTGTCAATTCCCAGAAGTCTCAGGGAGCCAAAGCCCATACAGCATCCTCATCGGGGGACCAAATATAAACAGACATAATTTGTCAGCATTGGATAGAGAAGCAGCTGAGACCAAAAGAATGGGACTACTGCCATCATTCTTACCTGAGTGTAAGTGGATGCCCGGACTTCCACACCCCACCCCTACACACACCCCCTGCCATGGGCGGCATAGATGGTACGAGCAGAGGGCGGGCCCCACTCTTGCCTGCCACAGGCAGCTCCTGGCAGCCACACTGGACCGTGCACAAAGTGGGAAGAAGGAACCTCGGAAATCGACATTTTCAGCTGGGCTAAATTTCAAACCAGAAAGACGAAAACAGAAAGGGTTGGACTGAGAAATCTATCATTACTGAGCAATTTTAAGTTTTTCCACTAAGCAGGAAAGTAAAGATGAGACAAAGCAAGGTCCATAGTTGTTACTGGTAAGAATTAAACCTTCCCATATTTGTACATCCCTGAGGGACACTATTGAATGAAACCTACAGCATAGAGGTCAGTTCTTTATCACCTGTGTCCCCACTTCCCTTCAAAACTACATTATGCTGCCTTAATGGTTCAGATTCAGTTTAGTTT